GGGGAGAGGCGAGGAAGGTGCATTACGTACACCTTCATTCTCTTCGTGATCAAATTACGCCCTTTTCTGCTGTCGTCTTTTTCCTACTCTTCACTACTTTAGGTTGTAAACGGTACTTTTGGCATCGTATGCTGCAATTTAATGCTCAAAAACGGTGTATTTATTAAATGTAAAGAATGCGGCAAGACTTACAACGTTCGATAAAATCAAAGTTCACATTCTCATCCAAGTCGTTTTTCGATGTCAGTAAAAATGCCTACATATAGACTTTATAATAGAAATTCTTCACTGAGATATGGAAAAAGGACGTGTGAGCACCTTCTTTTAACCATCTTTGTGATTACAGTACGGTGAGTAAACAGCAAAATCACAGCGCGGTGAAATATTAGACATCATGAATATTTCATTACCGTCTGTCGTGGTCCCCTTAGATTGTGTCCGCTTCTTCAGATGTAATAGTTGGAAGGAAGATATCTCACTTTCATTTAGATCATACAAATGAATATAGTTTAGAAAGCGAATAATTTTTCATATCCTGTTCTTATTATCCCATTGTATCGAACATAAGACTGGGTGTCATGCAATCGTTCAATCTGGACTGAACTAATGCATCCTCGCTCTTCAGTCTTTTACCACGTTGCTTCTGACAAAATCTTTCCATCTTGTTGGAGGTTTTCCTTGCGGCCGCCTGCTATAAGGCTTTGTTTTCAGTATTGGCGTCGCAAGATGGCTATCCTCCATTCGTTTCGTTGGCAATGGCCCCAATTTTAAACGCCTTGTTTGCAGTTATTCCGTAATTTTACAAGTTTGTGTCCTAACAGTTTGGATATTCCCATTTCTGTCCTACAACAGCATTTGACACCAGATCTCACCACTTCATTCCTAATATTGATCTTAAAGGCTTCATTTCTATCGCTTTCAGCTTTCGGTTTTTAGCTTTGCTACGCGTTGCCATCTCCAGATGTTTCCAATGCAAGCCCTGTATATATTCGCACCCTTGTCCCGTTGCTTACATCCTCATCCTTCCAGAGCTTCAATAATTTACTGATCTCTGCTAATGTCAGTGCGGCACCGCGCCTCTTTACTTCGTTTATCGCTCATTTCTTTACAGTCAATGTACACCCAATTTCCAGATATTTTGTTACCCTTTGCACATTGTCAGTGTTATCGGTCAGGTAATCATTGATCTGTTTTTCACTTTAATGCGTTCTTACCTCAGTCAGTTATCGGCTTCTTAATTGTTCTTTGTTCATCTTTTCCGCCAATTTTGTTTTGAGTAAACCAGTATTTTCTCGACTCCTGTACTTTTAATGGTAACAAACCTGAAAGTAACTGTGAGCGTTCAGCATCTTTAATGCGATCTATTCAGTGCGCCGTTTGAATGCCATGGCATGTTCTGAACTCTGTCGTCTTGATTTTGCTTAACGCTCAACGGCTATGTTCGTCTTATCCTTCGTGCTAACGAGTCTTCTGACTGATTCGTGAGTTTTAATAATGATTCCTTTACTTTAGATGACGGCAGAAAAGAACAATGCGCAAGAACAGTGCGAAGCGGCCACGCTGCGTCTTCTACAGACTGAAGAACGATGGAATAAAGAATTAGAAAAACTGAAAGAAAGCTACGAGAACCAAGTGAAAGACCTAAAATATTACCTAGAAGAAGCGGAGCGCTCTAAAAACGAGAAAGCATCCACAATCAAAGAAATATGGTCGGTGATGAATGAGAAAAGCACAAGGGTGCAGGAATTGGAAAGCAAATTGCAGCGATTCGAGTCTGACATGAAGCAGCGGCAGAAGGATCTGCAAGAAAAGATGGAAACAGAGCGAAAGAGAGCAAAAGAATTCGAAACAAAGTACCAGACTCTGGAAGCGCTGTATGAAAACGATCGTCAGAAGTGGCTATCCGAGAAAGACAAGTGCAAAATGGATATATCGGAGGCCCGTAAGCATGCCGAGGAGCTGCAAGGCGAAGTGGAGAAGACGAAGCAGGCGCTGGACAAAAAACAGTCTTCGTGGATGAAGGAAAGACAGAACTACGACGCGAAGGTGAAGCAGCTACAATCTGAGATCACCAACGCTGAGAAGAAGACGTCGAAAATTGCTTCAGAGCTGGCCAACGCAGAAAACCAAAAACTGCTAAATGAAATCGAATCGCTGAAACAAGAGAACACAAAAGACAAGGAAACGTTTAATGACGTGGAACGCGAATATAAGAGGAAAATCTCGCAGGTCTCTGGTGAACTGCAGAACCGATGCGAGGAACTGGAAAAATTGAAATCTGAACTTCAACTGCTGCATTCAAGGGTAAGAAAATATTAGGCAACTTCCCGAACCATTGAATGCACATTCAAATCCATATCACTTTTCTGGATGTACAGGAAAAACAAACTTGTTCTGAGTAACTTTTAAAATTATTAGTAGATAAACGAACGTAGCTTTAAATTATAGTTACGATATTCACATTTTCTATGAATACCATCACCAGAAGCCTTTCTATAAGTTTCTTCGCGTGAACACAAGCCATTTTTTCTTCGTCAGGTTAATGAATTGAATAGCTTTGAAATTTAAATACATAAACATTTTTGCACCTTCGCTAATTGCGCAGTCGTTTCTCTGGCTTTCAGTACTCATTGCAGTTGTTTAACCATGATGGTTTAGTTTGTCTGTTGATAATACCTTTCCAAGTGTTTTCCTTTAGTTAAAGCGATGCGACGAGCATTTCTTGTTAACCGTCTTACTGACAGTCAGAGGTCTTTAATATGTAACCTAACATTCTGCCTCTTGGCGCAATTTTCCTATCTTGTGTTTTCGTCACTTACCTGTGTGAGTTTTGTCATGTCCATGTTTCTATAGATCAGCGAACAGAGGCAGCAGCTGAAAGATACGCGGAAGCAACGCGACAGCCTTCGCGAAGAGTTGGATCGACTGCGACAGACATGGAGCCGAGAGAAATCTGACTTATCACACAAGATGCGCCAGGAAGAGAAGGTGCAGCAAGCAGAACAGCAGGCTTTACAGCTGAAGTATGACAGTAGGATCAAAGTTATCGAAGACAGCAACAAGCGTGCGCAGTCACAGGCAATTTTGCGTCTCACTTGCCTTAAATCGTTTTACACGTTAATTTGCTTCAGCTGACTCAAGCGCGGCGAGAGCGCGACCATTACAAAGAGGCGGTCGCAAATGCTGAGAAGAAAATGGCCGAGATTAAGAAAAAGTGTCAAAAAGAAGTGCAGGAAATCAAGGCGACGTTGGCTACATTCCACGATCAAGTTTGTAACAGACCCTGCTCGATCACTGCTTTCAAAAAAACACATTTTCAAGAGCGAGACAATCGAGGACATGAAGTTGCTTTACAAAAACAAAGAACTCGAGCTCAAGGGCGCCATAAAGAAGTTCGAGACCGAAAGTAGCCTGTGGAACATCGAAAAGAATCACCTGGAATCAAAATTGAATCAAGTAAGCACACCGGCTGCAGTTTTCGTTTGTGTCAAACGACGGACATCAGTTATAACCTCGCAGTTCATTTTTTTCATATAACAGTTCCCATTGAAGATAATAATGCCTGTAGTTGTACGAAATAGAAACGTTTTTATAATAGATTCATGAAGAAACAATTTTCAACTGATTTCATTAATTGTTTCACCAACACTACATTGTGAACGAAGTATGTCGTTGCTAATAATTATATTCATCAGACCCTACGTATTCTTGCGGTTACTAGCGATTCCTGCATGCAGTCGTAGTAAATTGGTGAACCTTTTGTGAATGGTGAATGCTTTTGACCAGTCATCGATGTGATACAGTAGGTTGAAGTCGTTAAAAATGCTGCGATGGCAGAATCTCGAATCGATTGAATCTGAAGTTACCGTTAGGTGTCGTCCAATTTCTTGTCATTTCTTGCTAGAACATCGCTTTGTGAACGACCGTTTTCGTTCACAATTGCCGTTGAGATTTAGGGGAGTATACATCATTCTATTTATTATACCGTCACATAATCTCTTTCTTGGTCATTACTTCTCCATGCTGCAGGCAGCAGACAGCATTTATAGCGGGCCGTTCTGTATTTACCACCATTAAAGGCGGAGACAGTTTGACAAGGACAGCTGTTGTTAGGAAGTCGTTTAATGCTTTTATTTTGCACTCTTAATAAAACCTATTGAGCACTAAAAAAATTTTACATAGTAGCATTACTCCTAAATTTTGGTAATTCAGCTGATCACAAGAAACCATTTCTTTCCCTTTCTGCGTCAGCCATGGATTATACCGCCTTTTCCAGAGAATGAATAGCAGATGCCAAGTACCTTCATTTCGTGTCTCAATGTCGTCCAGAGTTACGACTGCTGAAATAATTTCACTCTGTAATTTCGGTTTTCCGGTAATTTAATCCATTCGGGAACTTGTATCAATATTGAACAAATCAGCGCACAGAGAGCCAGTTGTGTAGCGTCGCAAAAGACGATGCATCCTTTCAGAGCGACCGTGCACGCAGCTAGGACTTTCTTAGATGGCCGTGGGATCGCTTCCATGCGGATGAGAGCTTGATGGCCTTCGCTACGTCTGACGATAACCGTAGTACCACATTAGCCAACGCTTATCCTAGTAACTGTTTTACTAATTCTAGAAGAGCTATTCCTGGCGGAAAAAGAACTATTCTTACTGCGATGATTCAGAAATTGTTTGAGGTTGGTTTGTTCGTAATGCAATCTGTCCATTCGATGTTCAACAGCCCTCGTTAGTATTTCACATGGAACGACCGAGGCTCTCCCTTCAGAAGAGTTCAGCTTTAACAACTACAAAATGGGAATTAGCCAGACCCAACCCCGGATAACAAAGGAAGAGGGTG